TATGACCGACTGCTGCCAACCGAAGGTTGGCGAAAAACGAAGGGAGTATGCATTTCACCGAGGCAGATCGGTGCTGACCGATAATATATATCCATAACTACAATGTATATTCTTATTCTTAATTTACATCTTATGTTGTCAACTTTTATTGATATCAAAAATTTTCACTAACTTTGTTAATATAAATCGAGATAGTCCCTTGAGAGCTGCATTTCGTAAATAGTACTATATAATGTTTCATTGTATATCTCTATTATTCATCAAACTTAAACAAGAATAAAATGATACATTACGCGCACTACACGCTGAGCACGTGCACCATGTTGTTGTCCACATTACGATCGCCATAATTTTCATTGCAAATGGGCACGAAAATAAAAATAAAAACACCTTGAAAACACAGCCTTGCATTATTTTCAGGCAATTATGTATTATCGTTTTCAAACACTCGGACAATATAGAGTATTGTAAAATGATAAAGAAACACTCTTTCTTTTTTGGATCATAAGCAGGGTTTTCAATATGATCTTTTTCATTGTAAATAATTTACTCGTGAACTTTCAATGTTTTAGAATCAATGCCAAAAGAAATGCAAAGACTCACGCAGAATAGATATACAAAAGCTTCATCACTTTATTCAAAACTTCATTCTACATCAATTATCCGGGCTCATGGAAATGAAATGTAAGATATAAGATAACTGTTAGAGAATAAAGATATAAAAAATAATTGCTTTCTTATCCAAAATTTAATAATTATGTTACCGCGTTAAACAAAAATACGGCTAAATTCTTTATAAAAAACTAAAAAAAAATGAAGAAGTCACAAATTAAATTGTTTCAAAATCTTTTTTGTTAACTTTTTGTGTATTTATATTAATACAATTCTAATGAAATTACAGATTGTCTTTTCATATAACTATTTTTCTAACTTTCTTCTTACATTATCATATATTTATTTTTGAAATATCTAATCAGTGAATCATGACCAGACATCACAACCAGATAACGCTTTAATCGTAATTAAAAACAAAATTATTTACTCCGAAGCTCCGGTTGGACAGATCAAAGCGCAAAGCCATTGATGCAAAAAAATTCAATGTGGATAAGATTTCGGGAATTGCAAAGTGTTGATGTGCACCTGAGTGACGCTTATCAACATATTACACTTTCTAAAATCTTACGTTGAACGTTTTGCGTCAATGACTTTCCGTTTTAACTCTGGAGCTCAAATTGGACAGGCCTATACTAGAGATTTAAAAAATGTGAGATTTATTTCGTATACAACTGACATACATAAACAAGGTAAACGTTTTGTTTATGTATATGTATGTCAATTGTATGCGGATAGAATAATAAGGGCGACCTTCGTGATATTTTATGTGTGTACACTCATCAATTAAAAGATTGCAACGCTTTTTTGTAAATTTATACTTATGAACCCGTAAGTAAAATCAATCGCGCTCGGTGAATAGGTTGCATTCCAAAAATCATAGAAAAAAATCTGTTGCAACCTTTTAGTCGACGAGTGTACACTCGATCAATTAGGGCCAAAATAAGATGAGAAAAACATGTATATTTTGCCAAGCATTTGCAATAATATAATAATTCCTTAGCAGAAACAACGATAAATATAATGCAGAATTCGTTAATTAACTCTATATATTTACAAAAATGAAATAAAACGATTACAAAAATGCAATAAAACTTATTGCTTACCCAGTAACCGAGAATAGATTGAAATAAATTGAAATGGATTCAGAAATATTAATTCACGAATGTTAAAATCAATGCTTTTCAATCCTGAATGCATTTTTATTCATTTATAGGAATTGCACAGAGCATATCTCTATGCCTTTCAATCTAAAAATAATATTAGCTTTTTCTGTGCATTGTATAATACTGTTCAATTCAAATAGGAAATGCAGTTTTTCAATCCAATTGCATCCAATTAAATCTAATTGAATTCAATTAAATCCAAAAAAAAGTATTCGCTATTTAAAATACGCGTATACGAATAGAAAAAAATTTCAATCCATTTTAATCATTCTCGTTTGCTAGATATAAAATGAGAACAAAGCAAGTTTTAAACTAATCAGCAGATTATGCAGGATATTTATGCAAAATACTTAACTAAATATTAACTATTGGACAGTTTTAGCAGTCAATCGTTGTTCATTAAAGAATTATTTAAAAATTTGAGATTTATTTCATATATTAAAAAGTGAAGTAAAAAGATTGATCTCCCTAACAGCACAGACCTCCAGGAGACGTCCTGAGAACGTCCAAAGGACGTCCGTATGTGCTTTGAATCCTAAAGACATTCTCAGAATATATCCCGGATAAAATGTGTTATTCATGCTGTAAATATGCATTTTATGCAAAAATATTCATACAATTATTTTGCATAAATATCTACAGTCTACTGATCAATATTTATTGTTGCCATCATGCTATTCATATTTTCGTTCGGATTTTACTATCTACCATATTTGTAGCTGTTAGATTATGCCAACAAATCTTGCACGAATTTTGATGATAATTTACTTTCATTTTATAAACAAATTTTGCAAGTAAAACAGAATTTCTTTTAACGAGGACGCAGATAACACTGGTTTTGATACAAAATTTTGATTGAATTTATTGCTAATTTGCATTAAGACGTATTTATACTGTCATTTAATTTTCTTAGGGAGCAATTGTTACCATGATTGACCATCGAACGCGTACACACACGTCTGAAAAATATTTGTACGGTGAACAATCAATATTCTTTATATGTCTATCTGATTGTTAAGTACGATCGGAACGTCGCTTTTTCAGTCGAACGATCAATATTGTTCATGTACGCAAATGAGAATTATGATTAGTTAAAACTTATTAATTAAACATTGAGAATTGATTAATAAATTTATTAAATTTATTATATAAATATTAATAATTTGTTAATAGATGTAATTTATTATGTAAAGAAGAAGAAAAAAAAGTTATAATAAAATGTGAAATAAATATAGGCAAACAAAAAAGTTGATTTTAAGTACACTTCTACTATAATGATGCTATTAATATTACATACATTTCCATAGTATACATATATAATAATATATTGACAAAAAGTAGTTCAGATCATTATATCATTTGCTTTATGAATATCTATTGAAAATGATTTTCTGATGTCCTTTGTGTGTTGCTCCCTTCATCTTTTTAAATATTAATTACATAAATATTATATACTACTGTCTGTTTTATCACAAAACGAAAATATAATTTCTATCCTCACTTCTTCGAACTTTTAATTTAAAATAAAATTGATATAATTATATCATTTAGTATGCATGCTTCTTCTACATATTTACTTTTTCCAAAAAAAAATACATCGAGAATCAACACATCTAATTTGATCCTAACTCAGAAAACACATTTGAAAAACATAACAAACGAACTATATTTATATCTTTGTTCCGACAAAGCAATAACAAATGTTATTTTAAGAAAGAATATTGAAGCATATAGAAACATAATTCCCCTTTACATTTTATTTTCTTCAATTTTTTAAAAACAATACATGAAAAACCATTTTTTTTTAAACATTTGAAAAATATTAAGTGTTTCAAACATTGAATACCATATATGTTTCTTTTAAACATAATAAGCTGCGTTCAGCAGAAAAAGCAATTTTGCAATAGTAAACATTCTTTATCGGATTGAATTTTATTGTTTGTTTTCTTGCTAAATATATCATAATATATCAATCATATGAAAGAATCTTACAACAGTTGCAAAGCTGCTTTTTCCACTGAATATAGCCTTTATAGTCTTAAATGTTTAAGTCGCACGCATTTTAAAGAAAAAATTGAGACAAAGATTTTTGGAGCGCCAAATGTTGATGCAATAGAGTGTTATATAATTCGATACGTCTTTTAAATTATTTAAATAAATGTTATATAAAACATAAAAAAATGTTTATATAACACATTCATAGTGTCTATTAAACTTTTTTTATTACTAATTTAAAATAACGTTTTTGTATGATTTGTAATAAACTTATAATTTACATTAATAACGTCTATTTAACATCTATTTTATGGCTATTTATTGTATAAAAACGTTTTTAAAATGTAAATTGTCTACTTAAATATTTTGTTATTCTTGTACAAAAGTTATTTATCAAGATCGCAGAAGAATTTACAAGAAGATATTAAAAGTATAAGAGCAAAACATTTCTTAAATTTTTCTTTAAAAAAATTGTGCGACTTAAACATTTAAGGCTAAACATAAAGGCTCTGTTCAGTGGAAAAAGCAGCTTTGCAACTATAGTAAGATTCTTTCATGTGATTGATACATTATGATGATTTAGCAAGAAAACAAACAACAAAATTCAATTCCGATAAAGAATTTTTACAATTGCAAAATTACTTTTTCTGCTGAACGCAGCCTATTATGTTTAAAAAAGGCATATGTGGTATTCAGTGACACAATGTTTGAAACAATTAATATTTTTAAAATGTTTTTAAATGATTTTTTATGTATTATTTTTAAATATATATCGCGACAAGCGTATCCTCAACAACTAAAATTAGTGTCTTCGTGCGCAGCCGAGACTGGGGATTGTAGCTAGTATAAGTAGTGATAAGTAGGGGGTAGAAGGTAAAACGCGCCGAGGGTCTCTCTCTCCCTCTTTGCAAACGGCACGGAAGTGTTCGTCGTCGGTCCGTCGGACGACGGCAGTGTTTCGCTTGCGCAGCAGCGTGTCACGTCGCGCCAGCTTCGAGGGACCCCCGTCGTCGGAAGCCTCGCCAAGTCTCGGGTATCGGGCGAGGGAGCGGCGAGCCCGTCTGCGCTCGTGATAAAGTCGCGTGAGCGTAATCGTCGCGGGAGAAAGAACGTAAAGAAGAAGAAAAAGAAGAAGAAAAAGAAGAAGAAGAAGAAAGAGCAGAAAGCTCGCGTGTTCGAAATCCGTCTCGTGTCGTCCCGCGTCCGTTGTCCCTACGGCCGCGGAAGATGGCTCCGTCGTGTTTCGAGGTGATCCTCGTCGGCTTTATCCTCGTGCTGCCGTTTCTCTACGAGACCAGCCGCACCTTCCGCTATTACTTCAAGTTCCTCATTTATTATGGCGTCGTGATGATGACCGCAGTCGTGCTCATGCCCATCCTCTCGTTCCGGCCTGGCAATGTCAAGAACTTCCTGTTAGTAGCTCCGCAATCGATCGATATTATTATGTTATCACATATCATCTCTTGTTTCGTCTCTGCCTTCGATTCAACAATCACTACCTTCGATATTTTCCACCTTGAACGTTTTGTTTTTCTCGCAGCAGAGCTTTGACAGCCGTCGTGGGTCACGAGAATTTATTGACCGGTGCTCGCTGCCTGTTCTGTCAGTGGGTGGCGGTGATGATGATGGTGGTGTTTGTAGTTGTTGCTGCGAGTATCGTGACGCGAACGACGGCGATGCTGGTGCAGGGGGAGGGAGGGAAGGATTTAAACTTGTTGTGCCCTCGGAGACGTGCCATATGGGAGAAAATGAGTCTCTTCCCATAATAATGGCAGCTCTCCGACACAAATAAAATGTCCAATACTTACGTCGTCTCGGCATCCACGATAGAGACAGCCGCTGCGAGAAAAGTGTACGGGACCAATTATTATTAGGGGATTGCTGAGTGAAGATCAGCGACACTCCCAATAGTAACGATTGCTATATTTAGCATGTTGTCAATGAATATTTTCATTGCTAGCTATTAATACTTGGATGTGTAGTATTTTTTAGTACTCAGATATTTGAAGTACTACTTTGTATTATCAAGTATTAACATTGAATCTGACAATGAGTACAAATTGAATCTATTAGAATTTGTGTATATTGTAGGCGCTTTCCATAGTGATATAAGTACTGATATTATACAGGGTGTATCTGAAATAACGCCCACTAATCATAATGCTATTCCTAATAAAAAACTGAGTCGAAAAGTCATCTAACATTTTGCAATTTTCGCAATATTTTTTTAGTCATCTAATGAGCAAAATATCTAAAATCAACATATAAGGCAACTTTAAGATATTTTTGAGAGTTCTTTAAGAAACATCTTTAAAATATTTCACAAAGAACATTGAAAGATATTTTAAAATTGTCTTATACATCGATTTTATCCATTTACTCAGCAATTTTTAGAAATTCATATCTCGTTAACTATTGTGAAAATTGCAAAATGGTAGAGGTTTCAAATTTAATTTTTTATCAGAAATAGTACTGTATGATTAGTGGGCGCTATTTCAGATACACCTCGTATAAGTAACGTATTATCTTCGTTGTATTTGCTGAATGTTTAAAAAAATGATGTTTGTATTACTAAATGAAAAGCACCTTATACTAACAACATTCTTTGTTAATTAAATTAGTGGATGAAAAAGAGAAATAATTTTTGAAATTTATGCAATATTTCAGTATCTTGATATTGGATATTATAAATTTTGATTTTTTTTATTGATTAACTCATTAAAACATGTACATATTACGCTAACAGCATTAATGAGGCGTAAATAACTAAAAGGGGGAGAGTAAGTTTTGAAATCGTTGCAACCTCGACATATTGGCCTTGAACTTCTTTAAAACGCTAAACAATGGAAATTTGAATTTTTAAAAATATAGCTTCTTAACAGAATTGCATCGATAGTTTCTACTATTTTTTAAATTTGTTTAATGTTAATTTTATTAAAGTTATTTTTTTTCAGAAATTGTTTTCATGCACACCAAAGTAGGAAATAGTTTAACCTTCGTTAAACCATTTCGTACTTTTCGGCCTGTATTCATATACAGACCGATAATATTTTATCGATAATTGCGTACTTCTGAAATTGTATTTCTGATATTCTATAGATATACGTAATTATATATTATATAGTACATATACTACAGTATTATATTAGGTGTAGTAAAAAGTCATCGCGTATTTTTTAGCTCAAAGTTGTATATACAATATCTTCGTCAATAATGAATGAAATTCAAATTTAAAAAAAGGGTTTTAAAGCTTGAAATCTCTACTTTTAAAAGCTTATCACATTTTTTAAGTTTATACGAGTTTGATAATTTTTACATACCAAAAACTACGAGCTGAAAAAGACGAAAAATTTTCTTCTCACTTTGTGGATTTGTAACGTGTCCAAAACGAATTTGAGAAAATTTTCGATTACCTATCGTGAAAGCTTGATACTTTCCCTACAAAATCGTTTTTTTTTAAATATTCCTACGACTTTTGATTACTGAGTTATCGCGGATTAAATAAAAGAATTATTTTGACTTTAATTGCTCATAACTCCATTAAAAATTGTCGTATCGTATAATTTAAAAAAGAGATTTTTAAAGCTGAAACTTTACTCTATCAAGATATATTTATATTGTTGGTAAGAAAGTAATTGCGGTTTTTACTGATAGATGTCTTTTAAAAAAACGCGATGACTTTTTACTACACCTAATATTATATATGTAATTATATGTTAAATGTGCGCTAACATCAAGATAAAAGCGCGTTCTGAGTATGGATTTTCAAGTCTATTTTCAAGCAAAAATTCTAAAAAGATAGAAAAAAATAAGAAAGTGGCATTTGTTTTTCATAAATACAAAGGCGAAGTCGTTGAATGAGTCTTCATACACTTTTATACAAGTGAATCTCGTTAACTGAATCATACGTAGCGATCAACGAACTTTGGAGAAATACATAGTACAAAGTTCTAAAAACAGTATTTATCTAACGTTTGGAGCGTTTTAAACAGCTCGAGGTTCTCGATAAGTATTCTTTTATTGACGCGCATCTTCAAAATTAAGAGAGGGAAAGAGAAACGGCACGATACAGTAAATCTACAATTATGCTCATTTCCACTAACGTAGATTAATTTTAATCTCGGTTCAACTTACTCTTTGTCTTTTTCTAATCTTTAGAACTAGAAAAAGACGAAGAGTAAGTGGAACCGAGATTAAAGTTAATCTACATTAATGAAAACGGGTATTAGTCCTTAAAAGATTATCTAATCCAAAATATTGAAAAATTTTTATTTTTCTGAACGCTTTGTAATTGTATCTAATTATTTTATGTGTTAACTCATTTTAATCAGTTTGATTGTATACTTAATAGAGATAAAAGTTGTATGCTTCACAAAAATAAAAAATACCGATAAGAATTAATCATTTTTTACGGAGTACATTGAGAAGAATTGTTTTTTTTTTCTTCATTTTTAGTGCTTACAATTATTCATTCATAATTATAAACGAATGATTAAAATTTACTTCATTAAAATGCTGATGTAAATTTTTTGCAGAAATATATCTATGATTATAAGATACAAGCAAGAAAAAAAATTATGAAAGAAAAAAATCAAATATATTTACATAAATAAAGGAATGTAAAGCCAATGAGAGCCGACACAGTTGTACGTGTAAGAAAAAATAATATATATATCAATCACCAATTACAGACGTTTCGACCATAAGATTAGGTCCTCTTCAGTGTAATAATAAAATTATTGGAGTCAACTGTAGATACTTTGTAAAACAATCATAATCGTCGTGTTATAACAGATCATCGTTATGCTGATTGTGAGTACAATTTAAATGACTGAATTCTTGTTTGGGTATCCAGTTAATTACATATTCTTAATTTTGAAAATGTTCTTAATTTTGAACAACAGCTAACGATGATTCACTGACAGCAATTTACTTATTGTTTTACAACGTATCAATTTGATTCCGATCATTTTATTGTTACACTGAAGAGAATCTAATCTTATAGTCGAAACGCCTGTAATTGGTGATTGGCATATATATTTTTTTTTATTGTACACGTACAACGTCGGCTCTTTACATACCTTTATTGATCTTTGGAGCCTTTTTCAATTTTAACCGATATTTACATAATTATGTAATTTATACATTTAATTTATTAATACAATATTTTTTTTGCTATATTGAGTGCGTTCGCAAAAAACACGCTATTAACGCTATTTGTTATTCTATCTTTATCATTAGACGTAAAATAAGGATAGAATTACATCATAACATTGATAATACGTTATAGTATTGTATAACTTTTGACTAATAAACAATTAATGCACCATCTATAATGTGTCGTCTATAATACACGGAGTAAGAAATAAGAGTAAGAAATTAACCAATTAATCACAGTCTAATGTAAGAAAAATAATTGACTACGATTGGCTAATTTCTTACTTCTTACACCAAACTTACTCCGCATATTGATGGCGTATAATAGCATGGATCTATTGCGACAAAGTAATTGAAAACATTTTCAACTATAATTTCATCAATATCAATACCAAAGAATTATTTATAGAAAAAATGGAGTTTAATTTGCGCAATTTACGTGTATTAAGATTTTTTACATAAATTTTTAATAATACACAAAATCATATCATACATTACAAAAAATAAATATTTATCTTATCTTGTAATATTCGCGAGAAAAAAAATCGAAGTATTTGAAAAATAAATTAGACACTTTTTATTTTTAGATGTTTAATTTTTTACAATTACATATAAGGAAGTCTATTAATTATATTTTTTAGCAGAAGATTCTTTTATCCGTACTTTCTTGCCTGTATCTCAAATTATCTAAAATAAAATAATTGCTTTATCAAGTTAATTGTATTACTATGGAAAAATATTTGTTCTTCTTGCAGAGTGGCATCGTGGTCGTGTCAATACATTAGTACTCTGCTAGGACTGCGATGGGAGCTGCGAGGAAGGGAGCACTTGGAGAAGAATAGGGCTTGTATAATTGTGGCAAATCACCAGAGCTCATTAGACATATTAGGAATGTTTGATCTTTGGCTGGTGATGGACAAATGCACTGCCGTTGCCAAAAAAGAAATTTTCTATGCATGGCCGGTCGGCCTGGCCGCATGGTTGTGCGGTCTGATTTTCATCGATAGAATGAACTCCGAGAAAGCGCGATCCGCCCTCAATACCGCCACGAAGGAAATCAAGGATAAGAAGGTAGTCGCGCCTGGAATGTTCGTGTTGATTTATACCATTTGCTTTCTACTATACTTTTCATCGCTTCACAGATTAAGCTGTGGATATTTCCCGAAGGAACTAGACGTAACACTGGTGAGATACACCCGTTCAAGAAGGGTGCCTTTCATGTCGCGATCAGATCACAGTTACCCATACTACCAGTCGTATTCTCTTCTTATTATTTCTTATCCGCGAAAGAGAAGAGATTTGATTCCGGTAAGTAAATTGTGAGGCTACAAAAAATAGAAAGTTGAAAAATATTAAAAATAAAAAGAAAATTTGCAAAAGTTAAATCTTTTGAAGAATTAAATCTCAAGGGTATAGATTGACAACAACTTAATTTTATGCTCAAAGTTTTCAATCGAGATTATACTTGCATTTTAATTCTTGTATCAAGAGTGCATCATGAAATTTCGCATTTATATTTCAAAACTTATTTTAGCTTGTTTAGACGTTGGATTTCTTCCTATCTTTTTTCTATAAATTGATTTAGTGTTTTATATGTTTTCGATTTTGAAATATCTTTTTGAACAATCGTATGTTGATAACCTTTAGTGACTTATGATGCATAATGGTATGATATTGAATATTGTACCAATAGACAAATAGATAATTATCATCATTGCAACACGAAATCAAATCGAAAATAGTCATTGAGATTTGTCATATGTTAGAAATATCCATACCTTGAATCGTAAAAATTTAACCTTATCTTCACAAGGACGCTTACCTTAAAAAAGACTCCCAGATAACACCAACTAAAAAGAACACATCTTCACATTTAACAATATAACATAATTTCTAACATCAATTTAAAAATTAAAATTTTTTTCTTTGCCAAGGAGTTCTTGACATAAAAATTGAATGACACATAATATAAAAAATTAAAATTTAGCGACTTATTGAATATAATAGAATTGTCTTCTAGAAGAAGCAATCTATGAAAATAATTTCTTTATCGGAAATTTGCATGAGATTATCAGAAGCAGTTTAAAATTCACTTAATTAAAGGACACATCCTCGTGACGACATTACCACCCATTTCAACTGAGGGACTCAGTACGGACGACGTAGAAGAATTAATGGAAAAGACACGAAGCACCATGAGTGAAGTATTTCACGCGACAAGTCGTGAAATTCAACAATCCCTTCCTGTTCGGTAAGAATACATCGAATGATCATTATTAGGTTGTAATGGGCTCATCTTATAAAAAAATGAGCAAATGTATGCTCACTTCTTTACAAACGTGGGGGAAAAATTTTTTTACGAAACATAACATAGGTCGAGACAAGATCTTAGAAACTATTAATTTTTCGTAGATATTCGTAGTGGGATGCAGAGTGGCATTGTTTGAGAACGGAGGGTTTTTTGTTTTTCAAACAAACAATGCCACTCTGCGTCCCACTATGAATATATACGAAAAACTAAGAATTTCTAAGATCTTATGTCAATCTTATATCAATCTATGTAGTAAAAATTTTTTCGTAAAAATTTTTCCGCCGAGGAGAATATTAGTAATATTATAATTAAATAAGTCTCCACGCGGGAATCAAAAACTTAGCGTCCGAATAACGTTTTCTTATTGTGTTATTGGTATATAATAGTATTATAGTATCCTAATTTATATTTTAATTTCTCCGATTCAGAGAAAGTAGATAGTATTCGAATTTTGTATGGTACTCGTCTACATTCTACTTGTATTTTAATTTGTTTATTCGTTATTGCATAAATCTCGCGAGAATTTAAACAATTCTTCATTAACAAATAAACCGAGTAATCTTTATTGTTTATATATTCTACATTTGAGATATATAGAGTTTATGGGCGATTTGGTTCTTGCATACGAACTCCACGTAGTACAGTAGCGCCTGCAAAGCATCTTAGAAAGCGCTTTCTATGCGCTGCTGTGCTACGTTTTAGTTTAAAAACATGTATTTTGAAGCGAAAGGAAAAAAATGCGTGTGGTAAAATAAGTATAGTCAGAAGAGTTATATGCATCGCTGAAGAATTACATAAATATCATTATTAATTAGATGTAATTTAAAAAAAATTGCATACGTAAATTCTTAAAGTATACGATATACTCTTTACGGAAGGCAGTGAGAGAGAAAAAAAAAATTTTCGATATGTATATCATGATTTTTCGTAGAGTTACGGATTGTAAATATGATTAGAATGCATTTTTGTATAAATTGTGGAAATATTGTTAATGTTTATACTTAAAGGTTTGTACTAAATTCTACTAGATATATTTTGGTATGTATAAGATACGCTTGTACAATTCCCACTTGTCTGTTTTATGCTTCCATTTGTTTTCATATGTTTATCTAAAGTGATTAAAACAGATTAAGGTATATAATGTTAGGGGAAAAAATGCTTTAATTCTAAATATTTAAAAGAGAGGAGAAGTTTCAACATTCTTTCGGATGATTTTCCGAATGTATGTTTCCTCTAAAGTATAAATGTAATTTAATTTCAATTGTTGATTGACTCGTCATTGTAAATCGAGATAATTATTCATAACCAAGATAATAAGAAAAATAATATTTTAATCAACAGAAAATATATTAAGTCTCAAGCACATTATATTCACACTGTGCTGCAATGTATATACATACGTTTTCACCTACTATTAGTTATGATTGCGATATTGCGAAAATGATCGGCAATTTTGTCGATATTAAACTTTAGTCCTTGGGCATTTTTTAAATAATCTATTGCACTTTTAATTTGCAATACGTCTCTAATCTCTATATATATTACATATAACATGGATGAAATGTCACATTAAAAGATTATAATATCTTCGTTTACATTATTTTCCAAATAGCGATTGTGTTCAGTTTAGCATAGCTTACATTTTTTGCTAATAACTTATCAGTAGCGATTAATAAGAATTGACCAAGGAAATCTAGGTCTTGGCAAAACAAGCATTATGTAATTGCGCTTGTATTTTTCTTCCAAGAATGATTTCTAAGATTCAGTATACTTATTGGCAGGTGTCCCGTTTTTTAATATTCTACAAAATGAATGCGTGTTATAGAATGTAGAATATATAAATGCTTGTTATACATGCTTGTTTGTGGCCGCAAACTAGCTATCACATATGTAACAACCATGATTATCCAATCGTTTGCGCAATTTCCACACTGTAATATCGTTTATATTCTGCATCAAATATCAATTTTCTTATGAATTACAACGATTACATAATAAGCCGTAGCACAATCTAAATAATGTTAAAGTTGTTTAACGAAAGTTATATATCGATTATATATTGATTTTCAACAACTTCCTATAATTTTTAAATAGATATAAGTATTCAAATTGGAAATTTATTTAAGTATATTATACAAATAGAAAATTTATTTATTTTACAAAAAAATTTACTTTATCATATAAAAACAAGTGTTTTAAGATTTAAGGTATTTACCTAATCGATCAAATTTCGAAATTTACATTGAGTGCTCTATATATATATATATATATATATATATA